GGGGCTAATCCTTCATAACTATATGAACCCTAAATCTAACAAAGGAATCTACTCAGACATGGCTAAGTGATTCATAGCAGTAAGGTAATAATAGAAACTCATAGGATTAGAAGATTGAACTCTTGGTTCTTTGGAACAACAAATCTCTTTGTGTGTTTCTTCTAAATCTAGAATTCTATAACCTTTGAGAATTAAGATGAAAAGAATCCTTTATTGCTAAGTATAAAATAGTATCAAAAGCAAACAAAGCACAAGAAAACTTTTAAAACATGCTTTGCCAAAACACATAGGCATAACTATAAATATGAGTTCCATTAGGTTAAAAACTCGTCAGGGGCAATCTTGTAATATTGGGAAAACTTGGGCTTCAAGTCGGCAAAGTTAGACTTGTTCTTCACGCTTGATATCGATCGATGGTACATTGCGTACATCGATCGATGGAGTATCTCGACTTCTTCTATGGAAGCGTCATCGATCGATTACACAGGATGTGTATCGATCGATATGAATATCTGGATATCGACCTTATTGTCTGATCTTCATAGTCATCTCGGAAAACTCTTCTTTAAGCTCCATAAGGGCACCTAAATCATCACTTTACTCCAAAATGCTCCTAAACCTGAAAACATACCTAATAGACTCGAAAACACACACACACACACACATATATATATCTTATAAAAACATATCAATACCATGGCTAAAAGTGTGTCAAAATCATGGTATATCACTATCTTATCTTATATACCCTTTAGCTCCTTCCTTGCCTACTTGTCATCACCTCTACTACTTCTCTCGTGGTCTCCACTGTAGACTGCGTCACTTTTCACCATGTTGTCAACCAGCTCCTCTGCATCTTCCTCATATTTTCCCAATAAGAACTCATTGCTAGCAGTATCCAATCTTGCTCTGTACTTAGGAAGAGCACCCCTGTAGAATGTGCTTAGTAAGCTTTCCTTGGAGAAACCATGGTGTGGGCATTAAGCTTGGTAGTTTTTGAATCTTTCCCAGGCTTCACTGTATCCTTCCAAGTTCTTCTGTTGAAAACTGGAGATCTCATTTCTCAGCGTAGCAATTCTTGAAGTAGAGAAGAATTTCTCCAAGAATGCTCTCGTGCAGTCATCCCAGGTGGTTATGGAGTCGCTGGGTAGAGACTTCTCCCACTGACATGCCTTATCCCCCAAAGAGAAAGAGAATAGCTTGAGCTTGAAGGCATCCTCGAGCAGACCATTGGTTTTTGACAACCTACAGTAACTTTCAAACTTGTCCAGGTGATCAAATGGATCTTCTACAGGCAAGCCATGATACTTGTTGTTCTCGATCACGTTGAGGAGTCCTGGTTTGACCTCAAAGTTGTTGGCTTCCACAGCCGGTGCTTGAATTCCAAACCTATTGCCATGAAGGTTTGGGCGGTCGTAGGTACCAATGGGTCGAGCTGGTCGCTGTGGGTGTACTGGCCTTGGTGGTACATGGTTATTAACTCCTTGTGGTGGGTTTTCCATATCGTTATCCAACCTCTGTAAGTGAGCATGTTGCTCTGCTTGTTTTCTCTGTCTTGCTATATCTCGTTCAAACGCTCTGATATCTGCAACTCGTGGAACTAGGTTTGTTGTGCCTTTGCTACTCAAGTTCATACACCTGAAACGCCAAGAGAGATAAAGATTTAGAATCAGTAAAAAAGTAAAAGAAAAATGACTTAGTCTCAAGAAAATGACTAAATTGCAATGTTTAAATCTACTCAGAATTTGGCAATGGCGCCAATTTGATGTTAGAAGTTTTTCTGTCTCGTAAGACAAATGTTGTAGTATAAATGATTGTCGAACTAATTCTAAGGGATTTCAAAGCACTGATAATGCAAGTACTTACTTAATCTAAGTGCGATCGAATAATCAAATGATTTTAAGCTATGGCTAATACTAGAGTGCAATAACAAAATAAGAAAAACAATAATTGAAATACTTTTCTTTGATTAAGAGAAAGGAGAACTCATGAGTATAGGGATTAGAACTTGGGTAATCAAACTTCGAACTAAGGATGGCAAATGATCAATTAAACTATCAACCTTAAGCCTAGACACATTTCTAAGCAAGCTCTATATCAAGATGAATGCTCATTTACTAACATAACACAAACATCATATATCTTCAGTTGAATGTTATAGTAGTAATATTTAAGAACAAGTCTATTAGCCATCTTAACACCTTTAACAACAAATGTATTTGGTAAAATATGTTAAAATCTTAGGAGAGTTGCTCAGACATTTCATTGAAAACCTTGTTGGTGGGAAATGCCTAAAGCTCAACCTTTTAGAGGTCAACTCAAAAGATGCATTATGAATACTCTACTAGCAAGGAATAAGAGAAATCTACACTAAACATCCTAATTCTTGCCTAATCACCCTTAACCTCCATAACCCATGAATTCAAAGGTGGATTACTCACTAATATTCATGACTCCTCTCAAACCCATATTGGATTCAAGCTTAATCATGTAAAGATAAGTAGATAATATAATGAAATCAACATGATCACAAGAACAAAATGAAAAATGATTCAAAGAGATGAACTTTTCAAGAGGTTTTGTGTTTTCTCTATAAGATAAAAGATAATCTGCCTGGTAGGCTTACAAAGAGTACTTAAACTTAGGTTTAAAAAGTGTAAAACGTCAAGGCAAATGACCAAAAGGTACTCAGAAAATATATAAGTTTCAACCAAGTAACTGACGCGTAAAGACTTCGTGGTGTCGCTCTGGCTCGGGAGTGACCTCGGTGTGTCGCTCTGGGACGTCGCTCCAGGGTCATCTTCGTCTCCCGAAATAACAAAAAGCCGAGCGACCATGACGTCTCTCTCTGAAGGTCGCTCTGGATTGGGAGCGACGTTATGGGGTCGCTCTGGCACGTCGCTCCCGCTCTAATCGTCCAATTATCAATTTTAACTTCTCTTTTGAGCCTCAAATGCATCCAATCATTTCCAAAATCTCCAAGGGTACTCCAATACCTAATAAAGACTCATGTATGCAAACAACCTAAAAAAGACTAAATCTTAATCTATATGATCAAAATGCATATAGATGAATGGATAAAACAATGGAAATATGCAAGATATCATATAAGAATCAACAAGTTGGTGAGTAGCCGTGTCTTTATCCTCCTCACCACCAGTCATTTAAATGGGATAAAGGGAAGACTCATTACTATCATTATCAAATTTGTTCTTTCAAATTGTACATATTATATATACAAACCCAAAAGAAATGTGATATCGATGGTTATGAGTTCTCCTGCTACCTCACTGTAGAGATCCTACATAGAACACAATGAAGAAAAAAATGGCATTTATAAGTGTTGATGAAGGAACTTGATACATGTAGGGACATTATAAGCATTAAATCCATTATATGCTAACAATATGAAGAAAACTCATTACACACCTTAAACCCATTATAATGCCTATAAGGCTTACATCGTGCAGCCCTGCCCATATCCATCCCCACTTCTGTGAAAAAAATATCCGGCTTTGTTGGTGTTCTTGATATATCGGTTTGAACCTAATGATCATCAAACTTCATTTCATTTTTCTAAATAGTCGACTTAGATCTCAAATCAATGGTTAGCAGGGAGACAGTTGTATACAATTCAAAACATGTTTGGGGCCTGAGCTTATCACCAGTTCACAATTTCCATAACAACTTTGACCATCTGAGTTAACTTATCCCCAAGGAATTGGTCCCTAAATTGTTTATAAATATACTGACTTCAAGTTGATGTTTAATTAGTTTCTGCGGAGAATCTCTGAGTACAACATGAAGAATTTTATCTTGATATTTGATTAAATAGCCGAACGTCGTTAAAAGGAAAACACACATTTTGTTTGCGTACCACGAGAGGAGAATTAGACCCTAGATGCCAAACAAAAAGAAAAAGAAGAAAACACTGACTAATGTCGATGCCGTTAAGAGGTAGATAGTCTAATCTTTTCATAAATCACTGTTCTATAACTATTAGCTTTGCTACCTGTACAGTTGTCAATTCTACTTTCTCTATCCCCAGGGCCGGTCCAAGACGTTTGAAGGCCTTACTCAAAACTGAAAAATGTGCCATTTTTTGGTCAAACAACTTCATCCTGCCCTTTATTGTCAAACTTATCATTATTGACAACGTTCTTATGAATTACGTCTCCTTTTCTTTGTGTACCACCTATTTCATCAATTCTAGAGTTTGCAGGTTTTTTCTTCATATACTTTATAATATAGAATTGGCTTGTTGTCTCACTAATTCTTCTTGCATCTTTCTTCTTTTTCTTTTCTCAACTCCATGGAGTTGTGGTTTAATACTAGGTGCCATTCTGCTAGTAACAAACAACAAAAAAACGAATTCAATTATGTATTTCCTAACATCACATTACAACTATGAGAACTGGTTGAAACTAATAAAAAAAATGAATCAATAAAATAATAAAAAGGTCACGTGGTTCAGAGTTGCAACCATGAACACTCAGCTTAAACTAATAAAAATCATAAAAGGATAAAAGATCAGATGAAAAAGTCATCTTCATCAACAAAGTGTTTTTTAAGGATCATATTCGCTAAAGCTAAATGAAAGAGAACCATAAATCTTACAAATCACAAGCAAATAAGCGATAAATAGTATTCAAAACCCTTTTTTTGAAGGAGACGAATCTGTGACGAAGACGAGTTTGTGACGGAAACGAACAGCTTTATGTGTTTGGGCTTAGAAAAGAGAAGAAGAATCAAACTAAAAGTTCACTAATCTGGCCTATAAAATCGTGGACCCTTAACGATCGCTTACTTTGCTTTCTTTATGGGCCAGGCCTGATCATCCCAATAATTATTCCCTTCCTATAATAAAAACGTGAGGTACGTATTTTGTCTCAAAAAAGAAATAATAATCTATGATATCATGATTATCATCTAATATAGGCATGATTTGGTCTTGAACCAACTATTAAAGAAAAAAATATTGCAGATCTATGAAAAAGACTCTTCATCTCGTTTATTATATATTGTTTCTATTAAGATTTGAGAGAGATTCGTTTCTTTTCATGTGTGCTTAACCGACAAAAGGAGATAACAACGAAACATCAAAAAGCAACATCAGTCGAAACATGCATAATTAAAGGGTGCTGTTGGTGAGACTGAAAGTAAGCACTAACCACCAATAATTAACATTAATTGATACCTGATCAATTATAATTATCGACAAAGTGGGCAGTCAGTTCATATTATATTATACTATTCGCTTTTGATTAACTTATTTGGCACGGTCTTGGATAATATCGAATCCCATCTCAGTCGGATCGGTAGCTTGAAGCTCATAGTGAATCCCTTCCAAAACCCTCCTCAGTCCAGCCTTCGACGTTGCGTATAAGATCTTTGCCCTTATTCTAGATGCCTCAGGCGACCTAATATGGTTAACAAATGTAATTACCATTTCACTCTTGCAGCACAAACGAATGTTTTTTTGCCAGTGCATGTTAATATATATATTATGAAACATCTATTTTATTGCCAGTGACTGAACCTAAAGTCACCTAACCTAACTAAACCCTGCCGAACTCAACTGATTCTTGTGGTTTAGTGTTAGAGTTTGGTTAAGAGTTCGGCTCAGTTCGAAGATTTAAAAAAGTTTTGATTAGGTATAGTCGATAAGTTCATTTAAAATAATAATATAACTAGATTCTGATCCGTCCGCCCGAACATATGTTTAAAAAATATATATTATTAAAACAGTTTTATATATGATTGTATATATTTTGATGCTTACAATATTTAATATGGTTTTATAGTCTATATGCATCAATTTTATTAATTTTTTTTTAATTTATCATCTTTTTAGTTGTTTATGTGTGTATATATATGAGTTAGAATTGAAATGTATATATATATATAACAATGAAGGTGAATTATCATTTTTTTTGTTTATATATTATTTATTTTTTATTATAATAATATATTATTTATGCTGAATAATAAATAATTAGGTATTAGATGATATTTTATTGTAAATTTATACACATTTCTTATACATATTTTTAAATGTAAGGAATATACATATTTTGAAGTTATTAATAAACATTCCTTTTAGTTTTAGTTTTAATAGTTTAATTTATTTGGTAAGTTGCAATTAAATTTTTTAGATATGTATTTATTAAAAGGTTTACGGTGAGGGTTATGCTATAAAAATAATTCTCATAATTAAAATTTTATATACGGATTAGTTCCTTATAAATATGTAGGTGGCATATTGGTTTATTAAGACATTTTAATTTTGATAAATTAGGATTGTAAGTAAATGACAAATAAATCCAATGGCATAAGAGTGTAACTATTGAAGAAAATTAAGAGGTATTTCAAATTTATATTCTAATTTTAATAGTTTAGATGAATTTATACGGGTTTATACTAAACCAAACTAATAAAAATATAACCAAAATCATCTGAATTTTTAACCAAATTAAACGAAAACCTAACGAACAATCGAACTGACTAACCACCCAACCAAACTAACTTTTTGGTTCAGTTGAGCAAAACTTTATGCAAAACCGTATTTTATCCGAACTGAAACAACCGTTGAAACCGAGTTGGTAAGACTAATAGTGATTATAACTGGAGGGGTTTAAAGGTAAATACAGTAGTTCTGGGAGGTAGAAGACTAACCAGTAGATAAAGAAGATCTTGCTCTTGCGGCAGTTATCGACGGTGACAAAGTCGAAATCAAATACGGCATAGCGACAGTCGTCCACGGGTAAGGAAGCGGCGAGATCGTGATAGTTTTCTCCGGCGCCGCCGACTTTATCAACGGTGACTTTACGGGAATTCTCATCGATCTTGAACACGATGTATCTGTGCACTTTCTTCCATTTCATCTCCAAGAATAAGCTTGTACACTCTTCCGTCACTCGCATCCCCGTGGTCGCCTGCAACATCAGATGATATTTAGTTTCAAATTCAGATGAAAACTGTTACAAAGAGATGCAACAAAAGGACAAAAAAATATTCTTCTACCATCTTGAAAGCCATGGCCATTGTTGCTAAGATTCTTGGGTCTCTTTTTTCTTGGCGTGGAGAGCTTTTCCGTTAAAATGGAATGACATTGAGGTCTTTATATAATAAAGTTACCTCTATGCAGATGCGATCATTAGATTCTGTATTACAAAATTACCCTTCAACTTTTTCATTAAGAATTGAATAATTTTTCTCGTGGGCGTAACTAAACTAATGTTTTCTGAAGATTTACATTTTGGTACAACAAATACTCAGTGTAAATGCCGTAAAAAGAGTCTGTAAATATAGATGAAGAAAAGCTTTGATTTACAAATTCATTATTAAATGAGAGACAATTTTGGTAAACTTTTAAACAACAACAACTTCCAACAAGAAAAAAAAAAAGTTCAAACAAAGAAAAACACGTCTTAGTTTACTCTCTAGATGATAAGGAATGAGTTGACCAAAAATAAAAAGATGGCAAGTAAGAATTTAGAGGAAATATTTTTTACGTGGCGTTTTAAATGGTTGGTCCGTTTATAGACGGAAAATAATGGAAAAGAATCAGAATTTTTCAATAATTATCCGATATAATGGATAGTATATATATATATCATGTTTTTGTTATGCTGAAACAATATATCTTGTGGAAGCCCCTTTGGTCCAATGGTTTGATTAAGGTTCATTAATGCTTCTACACCCGGAGGTCTGGGGTTCAAACCCCAGAAAAAACTAAATTATACAGATTATGGAGGAACAAGTTACAAGAGATCTTCAGCTTGGTGAAGGACGTACCATTGAACATGGATCTCATAGGACGGCTCGGAGTGATGCAGTCAGGCGTGTATTCTCACAAGATGGTAGAATTATCGGCTGTAAAATCGTTTATGTAATATTCTCATCGTTAAAAAAAAAAACAATATATCTTAATTTTACTATCCATTTTTTGAAGGGCTGTATATTATTCATTCATGATCGGTGTAAAAACATTCATTCTTCAAACTCAGAGTTTTTCACTTTAAAAAACATTCTCGTCGGTGGCGTCTTCACCACTATGATTATAGGGGTTGTACAACGACGAAACGCATCATGTTAACAAAAAGAAACAAAAAGTATAGGGATCAGGGAAATGTGTCAATGCTTTTATGCAAATAATATACACAAAATTATTATTGTGACGCTAGGAATGGAGTGGGTGGTCCCAAAGAATAGTAGCAGTGGAACTCAAAGTAACCCAACACCCACAATTTTATCGATCTCTGCAGTTTCGTTTACTCAAAACTCAAGTGATCCTTTACGTGTAAGCTAAGGACTGAGACTAGATCTCATATTATTCCTCTTTTTATTCTGTTATTTTCAACTTCTTAGTTATTGTATAAGTTGACAATTTAATTTTTTTTCTAAAAGATCGTTTCAAAAGTAAATATGTTTTTTTTCCAAAAGTAAATATATTATTTACATATTATTTGTCTTATTCTATATTTGGATCACAGTATGGAAAGTGTATTTTTAATCTATCTTTTATTGTTCTACAATTCTATCCCTTGAATGCTATAATAATCAAAATTCTTATGTTATAAATTTTGTACATCTCAGTATGTATGCAAGTGTGTCGCCTGGGCATAAGGGGTTAAATATTTGATATTAATACATCCCAATGATACGTTGCTTTATTATCGTAACGTGTATAATCTCAAAGATTATAAGAAACAAACTTCTTTATTAGCTTAGGAGAAATCACTCAAAAACTCAAGCTCTTACTAGACCTATGGCGGCGACAAGTTTGGCGACGAGGACTTCAGGCTTTGATACAGCTTCATCTGCATCAGAGATCATCACTCTTTGGTGATTGATCGGCATAGGAAACCTTCTGCTTTGGTTTCTCGTTCACCGACGCAAGTTCTGTTTTGCAAGGAACGATCGTTGTCGTTTCCTTACAATACAAGGCATCTGTTCTCTGTCTGATCTCGACCTCATTCTTTCCGGATTCTTTACGCTTTCACGTCCATTGACGGGGAGCAGATCGGACCTCCGGCCTGGTTTTTGCATCTCTCCGCTGCGCCTTCTCTGCATCCATCACTGGATCCTTTGATCTTGTGATCCTTTGATCTTTCAGTGACTCTGTTTTTAGTTTAGAAAACAGAGAGTATTTGATATCTGCGTCATAATCGAAATTATGATGATGAAGCCATAATCGATCGTTCCTTTGAACTTTCGATCTCTTTTGCGACATTGAACTCCAGTGGTCGGATCCTTCGGTTCCCACTCCTGCGTTCCTTGTTTGTCACTCCTGTTTCAACTCATCATAGTCATCCATTCGAAACATTCACTGATCTCTTTTGCGTCATTGCCATGATAAGCGTTCACTGATCACGTGTCGGAAGCGTTTACTAATTTCGTGTCGACATATTTACTCCTCTAATTGGCAGTGTTCACTGATCTCGTTTGCGCCATTGTCATCCTTCGGAAGCACTGTTTTTCTTCAGAAAACAGAGCACTTGCAGGGTCCATCTACCGTTATGGGTCCCTATGCTGGCTCAAGGTCGGATGATGTCAAAGGAAAGGGAATTATGTTTGAAGACGAGGAAGAACCTTTCAAACTCATTGACGACGAGGATTCACATGTGCTACAAGAGTTCAAGCTATCTTTGATTGGGAAGGTTCTGAATCCCAAAAAACAGAATGTTGAGCGCCTCATCAACTACATGCCAACGCGATGGGGTATGCAGGATCGCATCACTGCAAATGATTTGGTAAATGGAAAATTTTTGCTAAATTTTACTGTGGGAGTCGATTTCACCCTACTGTCAAATAAATCGTAAATAAGGAAACTTCGGGAAAACCCTAAGTTTCCAGAGGAACCGGCTATCTGCGAGAACCGCACAACAAAGATTAAGATGACGAAAACACTTAGGATTAAAACGAAAATAAGCGAGATTGAAAGCAAGAAGGTTCTTATTCCGAATCTGCGTTGAACTGGTACAAAGAGAGTAGCCGAAAACGTAAGAACTAGAAAACCCTAATTGAGACGCAGCTCGCTAACAGAAAAACGGAAAGATTCCTAAATGCTAGTTTTGGTGGTGAGAGCTCTGAATTTCGTATATGTGCTTCTGCCCTAGACCTCCTCTTTATATACTCCTCGTGTTGGCTATCCGATCTTTCCATTTCGCCCAGATTTGACTAAATTGGGAATTTTCCATTCTTCTCGATCCTTCTTTTTCTTCTGCGGAAATCTTCTATTTCTCTTCAAACCTTCCTTTTATGTTTAAACTTGACTTTTATTTTCTTTCTGCGAGTAAACCGTCAAAACGTTATCAAATCTGCGGGTTTGATCCCGTTGAAATCGCGAGGTGGGTTTTTATCGCGTTTTAGGTCCTTCCGGGACGTTTTGCGATAAAAACCGTTTTCCGACTTTTACGGGATCGTTTCCCGATCTGACGTCGTTTTTAATAAATTTCTCGAGTTAATCACAAAGTTTTATGATTTACTCGACTTTTTATTAAAAACACGTTTTTTACGACTTACTCAGCGTTTTTATTAAAAGCGCGTTTTTTATGATTTCAACGAGAAATCTCGAATAAATCGTATAGTTTAGGCAATGTTCGGTGTTTCGTTTAACCGTTTCCGTTTTATACGATTTCCTCGAGTTCTTTCCGAGAAAACGAAGTTTTACGGTTTTTATCGTAAAACTCGAACGGTAAGTCGGATCGAGATGGAACGGGAGATATTTCGGCCGTGGTTTAGAATACGATCGTGTCAAAGGACGTATGCCTTGAATCAAGGATGTGGGGGATCGAGACTCGGGATGGTCGGCTCGACGTACGGCGAGCTAGTTCAGCTTGGCTAGGTCGCCATATGGCGAACTAGGCGAAAAGAACCAGTGGGGCAAAGTCAGCACCTCTTAGTACGCCCATTGGCGATCTAACTGGAACAAGAATAGTTCGCCAATGGGAGAACTAGTTGAGTGTTTCTTAGTTCGCCGATGGGTGAACTAGTTGATTACTCCCTAGTTCGCCCATCGGCGAACTAGAGAGTGCTTCTTAGTTCGCCCATCGGCGAACTAAGCCGGGTCCGGCTTAGTTCGCTGATGGGCGAACTAATTGCAACTAGTTCGCGTTTTACGGCTTTTTCGGTTTTTTGCGGTTTTGTAAAACGATTCTCGAGTTTTATAAAACGATCTTCGGATTTCATAAAACGACCTTCGAGTTTTATAAAACGATCTTCGAGTTTTATAAAACGATCTTCGAGTTTTATAAAACGATTTCTCACGTTTTATAAAACGATTTCTCGAGTTTTATAAAACGATTTCTCGAGTTTTATAAAACGATTTCTCGAGTTTTATAAAACGATTCTCGAGTTTTACAAAACGATTTCTCGAGTTTTATAAAACGATTTCTAGAGTTTTATAAAACGATTCTCGAGTTTTATAAAACGATTCTCGATTTTTATAAAACGATTTCTCGAGTTTTATAAAACGATTTCTCGAGTTTTATAAAACGATTCTCGAGCTTTATAAAACGATTTCTCGAGTTTTATAAAACGATTTCCCGAGTTTTATAAAACGATTTCTCGAGTTTTATAAAACGATTCTCGAGTTTTATAAAACGATACTCGAGTTTTATAAAACGATTTCTCGAGTTTTATAAAACGATTTCTCGAGTTTTATAAAATGATTCTCGAGCTTTATAAAACGATTTCTCGAGTTTTATAAAACGATTTCTCGAATTTTATAAAACGATTTTTCGAGTTTTATAAAACTATTCCTCGGGTTTTATAAAACTGTTCTTTTTGTATTTTCGCGGGGAGTTTTGGCTATTAATTCTGTCGTACCGATTTTGACCCCAACAGTTAGCCCCCCAGCTCGTAAGAATCGTGAGCCTTTAGCGTAAGGTTCTTGCGAGTGGTTAATCAGTTTTAGTTAAGTTAGGCGGAATTAATGGTCGGAAAGGTCCGTTGAAAGTGATCTTTCCACTCTCCAGGGAGCGGGAAGCGTTTAAGATTAGGGCTGCGCCTTGTGAAGCCTGCCTACGTACCCTTTTGAGGGGATCAAGCCTTCCGTAG